GAGAAGCTTCAGCGCTTGCACCTTCTATGCATCCGTGTGTCGTTCACGTTCAAACCAGTTGTTTATTTGCGACTGAAGGACAAAGTTCCGGACTCCGTGGTCTCATTCTGTGTACACTCATTTACCTAATCCTGTGAAACAACATACATTGGTCGCATGTTCATTCGATTGTCAGAACGGATTCCTGAACACCAAAAGGATTAAATCACTCAGCAGTGCAGTTGTTCCAAACCTAGCTGAAACAAATCACACTGTGGACGTGTNCGTGGACGATTATCCAGGCAGGTTCACTGTCGGATGCTGGCTAAAGTAGAAGCGGTGGGTATTCGTCTGCACAACCCCCCTCTGTGGGGCCAAAAACCAATTTGTGTAAGCGGTAGAGCTTCTCTGATCCACCCCCCACAAACCGTATCACAAGTAACCTCAATAATCGGATGAGTGGACAAATAAACATGTGATCGTAGTGATCCCGATTTTCAATTTCATGATGAAATCGTTCCTAATAATTTGTGATTGGATTGGATTTTCTCAAGACAATTTTATTCTCAACTAGTGATATGTATTGAGATATATTGACATGAATTCTTATGTCTGGAAACTATTTTGTTCGCCACTCTTGTTTTGTTTGAAAATGGGTTTAGATGTGACTTATTTCACAAATGATCACCAATGTTATAGAACAACATTACTGTAGGGTAGTTGCTTAGACGTTAATTTGATCATGACCGGGTGCATGCAGCTTAACTTGACTTTGACTAAATAACTTAACTTTTGATAGCATGATCTGCAGAACTCGCTTGAAGAAATTGAAATTTAGTCATTTATGCGTCCGGGAGGTTTCTCTTACTCGAACTCATTGAGGTTTGGGTTGTCAAACCTGTTCGTTGGATTCTATTGGCTCACATTTTAGGATTGATTTGAGGAACTATCACGTTGAGTTGTCGCTTTGACTTAAGAAACAAACGCTGCAGTTTGATCCGCTTCTGTTCAGCGCACCCCAATGGACAATTTATCGCACTTTTTTTCTACCCCCCCCCACCACCAATTGACCACCCGGCTCGTTCTGCTTTGTATCGTGCATTTTTTCGAGCTCGCTGACGAACTTCATTTTCGTGGGTCGATGAAGACGTGCGATTTGCATTAGACAGCCAAGCTAAGTCCGACTCGGTAAGCACCACAGCTAAGGAACAACTCGTCATGGTTGCTGTGACATTCGCGATAGTTCAATCGCCAAAGTTAACTGCAGTGTCTATGGCTAGGGACGAGTTCAGTGCTTCCAGTTTAACCTGAGCGATGTACTTTTCATTACGTGGTCATGGGCCTATTCGAATAAAAAAATCTCTTGTGAGGCTTAGTTTGAAGTTACTGAGATGACTTTTGGTGATTGGGTTGTTTTACATCAATGGCCTGGTAACCACAACCAGTTGTCTTAATTCTAACTCGCCCATTCCTGGCTCAATAAACATTCTAACGGAACGCAGCCGATGCGTTTGAAACAGGAGCTAAACCCGGCGCGAAATTATGTATTTAGTGCTCATTTGCAGTACCAAGGTCAAGTCATGGTCACGACAAGTTCGGATACTGGCGTGCAATTTGAAATTGTAAACCAATTCTACTGGAAAAAGTAATCGCCGCAAATTGCAATAAAAATATTTCAAGACCCTGCATTATATGAGCAAAAGAATTCAGGAGCATCTGTCGCCTGAATATGTACATTGGAAATTGAATTATTTATAGTTCAAAAACCAAATGGATTTGCAGAGGATGTAGTTGTGAAGCCAATATAAACTAATGCGAACCTATGAGTAGCGGTGGTGGCCAAGTAGTTAGGTCACCAAATTGTGACCTGAGTCCCAGGTTCGAACCGCTCCACCGCTGCCCGTCTTCCCAGACATCCTTTGTATGGCCGCGGCCCCCTTCCTGAAATTTGTCTGGACATTGTATATTCAATAAATAAAAAAAGAAGTAAAAAAAATTTTACACACACATTATGGCACTTATTCAATGTGCTCCGGGATGCTTATTGATATGGAGAATAATTTCCGAATTTTATGTAACATTGGTGTGGAGAATGTCTTTTATAAGCATAAATTAATCATAGAGAACCTCTTGTCTCTTGTATTTCTCTACTATAACTAATCTACCCCACCCAAAGTTTTTTAAGTAGCTAAATTTTCAGCCTCTGGAGGCTGAATCGAACAGAAAATAATTCCCCAAATAATGCTTTGTATAAACTAAATAAACGTAAATATTTATCATTTAAATTATAATGAAATGTAATATATATCTTACTAAAACCGCCACATATTGTGATCTTCATATATGTATAATATACCATATAATTATATGATATATATTCAAGTATTGACCAAACCCATGCAACACCCAACGCTTAGTGTTTCCAGCCTCATTCATGTAATTGAATATGATATTGCCCACATCAGACATTTCTGATATAATGCCCACCTTTTGTCTTCGCTCCTAATAGTGGTATGCTATTATGATGTACGGCTTCTCGATTTTGACGATGGTTGCTGGTGCATCAGTTGTAAAATAACGAAGCCACAGTAAAAACAACTAGAATTTGTTTATTAAAATGACTCAGACTTGATACAGATATTTTACTTTCACCTCGTTCTTGTTTTATTTGCCTTTCTTCCTTTGTGAGCACTGGAGACAGTCGCTTTTGCATGGAGCCCACCAAGTTGACTACCGAACAGAATTTACCAATTTCATCTAGTACATACCACACCCTAGCCACTGTCGATCATTGTCTAGTCAGCTGACTTATTCCTGTTTCTAACAGCAAAATGTTTTCGATTACATTGAAATCCCACCTACTGGGCGGTAATCAAATGGATTCTACTTTGTAATTGATCCCTCCGGAAACTGCATAAATGTGAAAAAATAATAAATAGTGAGATATTTTTCTGTCATCAATCTCAAGCGAGAGGATATACTAACATGCATCTTTAAAAAATCTGACGCAAAGTACCTTGTTAAGTGTACCTTTCAATGCCAGAAGGCAATCACATTTGATTCAAAGGAATCGACGTTACTTGAAGAAATCACGACCCCAATGGAATTCACCCACAAAACTGAATCCACTCATGCAATGGATCATTCCGACGTTCAAGTCTGGGCATGGTGACCGATCTATCGATCCATCTTGAGATGATTTGTTTCCTTACCCGACCGACAGAGGTCAATTACCGCCGGGTTCGTTCATTCGGGTCTATGACGCACACCCGATGAACAACCACGGTTATAACATTCCAGGGTGGGTCGAGGGGGGGGGCGAACAGGTCACCCCACCCTACTCCGCAATGCTTTCATCCTCGCTCGGTAACTCACTCAAAAATACTTTTGTTTGTTTTCGGAAAAGTGAGTTCGTTCGGACTGGACGGGGTTTAGCCAGACCCGATCCAATTGGTGACGTTTGACGACCAAAACACCAATCATCTTCTGTGGTTCCAGTGGAATGCGATTGGTTGGATTCACTTGAAGGTACACCGCATTCAATTGAAGTTATGACGGATTCACTCAAAGTTGAAAAGCTATAGATCATCTATCATGGGTTTTTCATCTATCATTATTATTTCTGCTACGTTTGAGTAATATATTGATAATTATTACATTTTCTGTCTAAGGGGTGTCAGCCAGAAACTTGAACCCTGTAATCATCGTATCAGGTCTAATTCGGTCATTCTAGTCACAAGAAACGACACGCTGGTTACCGATAACTGGGCAATACCCATTTTTATTATATACAACATTCCCCACTCTTTACAATTCAACCAATACTCCGTTCACTCGCAACATCCGTTACACCTGAACTTCACCCGCGCCTAAACATGTGGACATTTCCCTTTACTTCTTACATCACATGATTACATGTCCTACGCAAGTCTATCAACGTCGATATGAAAAAACGCAACATCTAGGATACTGTAAGGAACATTTCCCGGAACTGCGACACAATAACCCAACTAATAACAAATTGAAATATAACGCATTTTAGCAATTATGAATAATTATATTGGGCAGAATGGAATACAATGGAAACAATCTTTCTTCGTCTTCTCCCTGTCTGTCCGATGTTTTTCTTTGTCTTTGCCTGGAGCAAAAATAAATAAGAATCATTAATAGTTAAATGCTCTACAAAGCTTATAATATGAAGGTCTGACTTTCAACGTAAAAAATAGCTGAGACTTACTTTGGAAAGGTTCAGAGTGAATGTATAATAATGAGCTGTGGCTATTGCAGTTGAACAATACTTGTAATTTTCTAAATATAAAATGAGAGAAGCGTTTAATCGACAGCACTTATTATTTCGGTCCGTTCTTCAATAAAGCTGACTCGTCAAAACGTTGTACCAAGAAGGCGTCTACATATAAATATTTTTTATTTTATTTTGTTATATATATATTTTTATTACATATTTCAGGAATGTGCCTATTATCTTCGGCCGTGCGGAGCTTCTACCTTTACACGCCCAGTCTGCCAAAAGTGTTCACAGCTGCTCGTCCGTACAGCCTATCGCGTGCATGGTGAGTATAATAGGGAAGGCCTATTCATTCGTGTGGATTTACGCATATGTGTGCAGATGCATCACTGACTACTGATCAAACAAATTCATTCTAAAACGTTAAATATCATCTTTTTATTACACAATGTGAAATACCGTAAAAGAATTGATCCCCATGGACAAATAGCCTAATGTAAAATGGAGGGTAGAGGAACATCCACTTAAGGTCTGCATTTAAAAAGTGTAAGATGGTAAGTTGGGGGAATAACAGCAAGTGGGAGTGTGTTCCACAGTTTGGCAGTTCGGGGGAAAATAGAAGATTGGAGAGAGAGAGAAAGATACGACATCTGGGACCAGAAACCTGATAAGGATAACTAGATGTCTGTGTACGGGATCGGCAGGTAAAANAGGTAAAAGTTTCCGGAACTGCCGAGGCAAGTTCCGAAGAACAAAAACCAAAGTAATGTGGAACGATTGTAGCTAGGGATGTGGGCGTTGTTAGTGATTGAAATGGCAATCGAAGCGTCTGGAAAAGCCTCAAATGCACAACGAGACGAGCGACCGACGACCAAACGAACGGCACTACCGCATATACAAGGAGTCTCGAAACGGCAGCCGAAAATGAGAACAACACTTCCAGCTCGGAGAACACACCACCAACAAGAACCAAAGTAGTAGCGGTAGAACAGGGACAAGAAGCAACTGCCCGACGATGGACTAGTGACTGCAGACTGTATGTTAGGAAGAATCATCGACTAGCCTGATGGCCTTTCGTTGAAAAGGATCATGAAGAGAAAGGGAAGAAGACGAAGCCCCACCCCGCACGTAACTACAGTATCCAGGAGCATGGCGGATTGGAGCTTTGTACAATAGAAGAAGATGGGCTAGGTTGAAAAAACGTCTGGAGTGAAATAGAAAATCCAAAAGTGCGCTCAGCACAAGAAGCAAGCTACAAAAGGGGACCACGATAAAGACAATAGACAATTCAAGAAGGGAAAGAGAATCTGTGGAATTAAAAGATAAATAGGGGAGAATGAATGATTTTTAAAAGAAATTGAAAGAAGAGAGGTCTTAGAACTAATAAATGAAATGTAGTTTGCAATGCCTCAGGAGAAGATGTGTTCGAGATCAGAGTCCAGTGACCCATTGAATGTACTACGGTCAACATCGATGTTGGTCTGGGCATGACGAGGATTGTGGTAGGAGAGGGAGCAGAGGAAGATGAAGTCACCAACAAAAGAATGGATCGGGTTAGTAGTTTGGGAAAGGAGATCATTGATAAAGAGAAGGAAGAGGGTGGGCGCAAGTACAGAACCATGGGGAACACCTGCATTCACAGGGAATGGCTGAGATAGAACCCCATCAACTGGGATGGAAATGGAAACTTGGTATCCACGCTACGATAGCGGAGGGAACCCGAACATGGCTAGTTTCGCTAGAAGACCTTTGTGCCGAACTCGGTCGAAGGCTTTTGAGATGTCAAGTGAGACCAAGTGTGTTTCTCCATGGTCCAGTAGAGCTGACCAAGGTTGAGACAAAAGCCAACAGGTCACCGGTGGAACGATTCCATCGAAAGCCATACTGGCGGTCGCTCAGCAGTCCTTCACGTTCAAGGAACGTGCGTAGCTGGTCAGAGATATTAGTTTCAAATACTTTTGACAGAACAAGTATGATGGAAATGGGTCGGTAATCGTTGGGGTTAGAAAGGTCACCGCGTTTGGGAATGGGCAAAATCACAGCGTGTCCAGGGGGTTGGAAAGGAAGAAAGTTGAAAGGAAAAACTAAAAAGACTACGTAAAATAGGAGCCAGCTCTCAGGAGCACACATTTTGAGGATGATGGGTAGAATATCGTCCGGACAGGGTGGTTTGTTTGCGTTTAGAGGGCGCAATGTTTGGCTTATTTTCCCAGTGCTGATACGAGGTAGAAGAGGGTTGCCAGTGAAGAAGGAAGTAGGTGGAGGTGTAAAAAAATGGAGTAAGGTAGACTTACCGGCAAACTGGGAAGCAAAAACTTCGGCTTTCTCGTGTGGTTGACATACAAGATCACCAGAGGAATTACAGATAGAGGAAAAGTTGGAAGGGTAGAAATTATTGGAAATAACTTTGTCAGGGGCCCAAGATGTTCGGCTATCGGTGGCGGACGAGACAAAGTTGTCGGCTTTACGGTGAACGAAGCGTTCTCTGGCTCTTGGAGCGTCTGTTCCTAGCTTGTACGAAGCGATGGTAGAAGAGGGGGACGGACGAGCGGTAGAAGGCTGAACGTTTCGGGTGTATATGTCACCCGTAGCGCTGACTACTCACTGTACAGCTGTCAAATCTTATTTTTTCAGTTGTCAGCGATCCATATCAGCCGAACCCTTAAATCTTCCAACCGGGACGCGCTAAGTTGTCTCTCACACGGTTAAATGCGCAACTGTGCAGTACATGTATTCTTTGCTCCAATTTAGATCTCTATTTAATTTAATTTGTCCGACTACGATAGAAATCAGTCATTGTCTCTGAATTTTATCTGTCACATGTATCCCTCAATCGTTGGATACATTTTACGGCCACTTTCATCGATTACCGGTCCAAAACATTATCTTCAAAATACATCTTTTGATGATATTATGAGCGGAAAATAAAGTACTGAGTATATGAACCACGTTGGCAGGACGGGACACTAAATGCAGTTTAGCGAACAACTTTGTTTCCGGTGGTTCACCAGCTAGCGAATAAATCACACAGTGAGTTACCAACCGGTCCTGAAAGATTGATGCTCAATTTTTCTTCTATAAAATTAAACATTGTTAGCCTAGGACCTCGATTTTCTTGCCCAACTGGAAGAACTAGACAACTAGATCTGGAATTGGTTTGAAATTTTTCTCCAACTGTCGAATTTATCGCCTAGTACATCGCGACATTAAGCTAAGCTGGAATCTGCATTAACCATTAACCATGCACTTTCATATGTCGGGTCTGACTGCTACTTCTTAGCTGCCGATTTCAATGAATTAGTAAGAAGAAAATGCGAATATTCTAATGAGTCTCAGGTTGAAACCAACGAATTCATAAAGACTAAGGTTGCAAGGACAGAGTAGACGCACGAGCGCAACCATGTACGACACATGTTCACCATTTTACTAGCGAACCGGTGATAAAAGATTTAGTGACAGCACAATATCGAGAGCGGTTGCATGCATTGGGGAATAATCGAGAGGTAATTTTATGCAGACCTGATAAGGTCACAGTAGTTGTCCTTTCATATGTCTAAGATGAACGTCCTACTCAGTGACAACACAACGTTCAAGAATAAAACTGAATGGAGGCATAATACGAAACAGACGAGGCAGAAATCATCAAAGACCATCCTAAGTGTAAAGCGTTAAAGGTAAACTCGCATTTAAAGAAATCCCACAGGCCGAAATGGCAATCCCAATAACATGGAAGCGTGATTCTTGATAATTTATTGATTATGGTTAGAATTATCTATTGTGCGTCCCAACACCCCCAAGACATCGCGCTCATACACGAGCAACCACTGAAACCATTAGTATTCACATCTTCGCAACCGATATTTGTGCACAAAAACCACTGGCCCAAGCTGTCTGTTTACTTTGGCCCCAAATACATCCCTTCACCGTCAACGCTTACCCAATTCGGCTTTATCCATACAAAGACGGTTAACGCAGGCCCCCCACTCCTATCTGTCTCGAATGACCTTTTGATCAAGCGTAGAAATGTATTCCCATTGGCTGTAAACCCTTATGTGATGCGTGCTAGTAGGATTATGTATTTCTCAAAACGGTTGTTCGCCTTCAGATTTCTGTTCTAGGGAATAATTACGCGATTTGAGTTCTGTAGACGATATGTCGTTGGTAAACTATGTCTTCTGTACAGCAAGGTTACTGTGTGCGAGAATACATGATTCTGATCATCCCAACATCGAATTCATTTTTGAAGCAGAGATTGATAGCCACATTGATTTTCTTGACATCTTTGTTATTACACACATTTGTGTGGTGAACAACAGACGGGGCGATTCTCATAGTCACGAAGACCTGCTGCTCCGTCATGAAAACCGGTAACCGAAGCCCCGAGACTTGGAGAGGCGAACCACACAAGGTCCCGCTAGGTTAGGCGTGGTATAGTTAAAGCGTCGTATAGACGGTTCTATTTAAAGAGCGATCCTTAGCCTAACGGTTTAACCCGATTGGTGCTTTCATTTTCGAATTTTGGGGCATCAGCCGAAAAACGGATATAATTGTATAGTATATTTCATCGTGTAAAGAGCAAATGAAGCGTGAAATAAAAAACGAGAAGTACTGAACAGCTGTTTTGACCTGTTTGGGTCTCATCATCAGGGCAAATCCATCGACCCGATTTGCTACTCCCACGACGAAATTCACGATATGATCGAAGCAGACTCTTCATCACTACCAAGCAAATCTAATTGTGTTTAGCAAATAGAGCAATGAGAATATGCATTCCTGATACCAACCATCTTTTATTCGTCGTTTCCCTACGGAATGCTTGCTCAGGCCGCCAATGAAGATATTTTTATATATACAAATAAATCAGTGTCTGTGAGAGCAGTGATGGATCAGATTCCATTGATAGTGAACTCAGTCCTGAACAGCAGAAATGAAGCGTGAAGTGCTTGCACGAATTTCTTCTGGGCGTACAAACGGGGGGAGGGGTAGGATGTAAATACGAATACTTACGGCTTCACAAGCACTGATGATGTCACCTCGGCTGGTGATGAAACGTTTACAAACAAATTGCCAAGCTCGGCGAACAGGCGAAATGGAATAAAGTTCACTCTAGAGAACGAAAAGAATAAGCCAAATGCATTTATGAACATTCTACTAAGCCTTCGATCAGATGAAACTACTCATCACACTATCCACAGGAAACCATCGTGGAATGATCAGTATACCCATTCCAAAGTCTAAATGCCATTGGAGCGGGGAAAAGAAACTTGATTCAGTGTCTCGCTTCTATCATCATTTCGATTGTTTCACATCTGGTGGAGTCAAATCACGTGGTTAATGTGATCGAGGCGTTTCGACCGCTCTACTTCATTTGCAGTCGTAAATCTAGGAGGACTAGGATTGCCACTTTGACCACAGCGGAGGCGATCGAAATTCTCCTACATTTTCCCCGTATGCTCAGAAAAACGACACGGCCCTTCATAACCAGCACCACACACAGCACGGCCATCCTTTCACCCACTCCCAATTACCCGAACCAATGTGTATTTGTGTTGATCAAAAGGCGAGCAACATCTGGTCATGGAAGTGAACTGTTGATTAGTTTCCCTCCTCCCCCCCCACAAAGC